GCCATCTCCCTGCTCTGTCCCTTGGCCTTAATTTGATGCTGGCAGAGGTTTCCTTTCAGGACAGAAGTTTCTTTCATCTGAGGAGACTCTGAATCTCTCTGGCCAGGAGGAGCTTTAGGAGGAGATACCCGTCCCCCTGCAGCTAGTATACAGTTCATCTCTGAGCATAAACTATGGTCATCTCTAACCATTTTGGTCCTGCTTTCAGAACCCTGAAGAGACCCTTCTGCAGCAGTAAAGCCACTGTCCGAGACCCGCACAAGCTCTCACAGGGACCAAGTAAAGCCACAGTCATTCATGGGACCGGCTGGTCTACAACCCAACTTCCCTCTCTGTAGAGTCTTAGTTCATCTGTCAGCGCAATGACTTGAAAAGCCCAGGTTGATGCTGGTCCCAAGAGACTCCTGGGCCAGGCCCTCAGCGGAGCAGCACTTCGTGAAGCCACAGTCCTAGAACTGGGCTTTTCTCCTTGCTGATGGGCGGTCAAGGCAATTTTGATCTTGAAGGTCTGTGCCAACCACAAGGAGTCTATGATTCAGCCCGAAGCTTCTCCTGATGCTACGCGCAACGGCAGCTCCCGGAGGTTGAGCTGGCCCAAGAAAGGGAAGCGCAGCTCAGTGACTCAGAAGGGAACCGAGCTGGGTTACTGGCCACCAAATAAATCCGGAGTGCTTCCTCTATCTCACCACCAAACCAACGACGGCTCCTTGCACATTTTATGAACCAGACGCAGCCACACGAGATCCTAAAAAAGTTCCTTTGTCTTTAGGGCAGGGTTCTTTGTCTTTAGGGAAACTTCGCCCTTGCTTGACTTTCACAGTTCTATCGTCGGAGACAAAACGGATTCAACTCACATTGGCACCGTGCTCCAGGCACAGAGCTTCTCCTGGGGACCCTTAGGACTCGCTGCCGAGACAGCTGGAGCTGAGGCGCGTAGCAGCACGAGCGCTCGGCATCGCTCGGGGTGTTAAAGCAACAATCTGCGAGCCCAGAACGTGGCAGCTTCTGTTCGGAGGGGAATATTGCAACTCTGATTCATCACCATCTTGTGATATTTAGCATATTCCTAAAGATCCACTCACAATCCCGTTTTTTATTCTTCTTTTAAAGCAGAATCCCTCGCTGGTATCCATGGTTACTGAGACAAGCTGGGAACCACAAAGCTCTAAAATTCAAATCACAAGCAGAAGAAGAAAAAAAGAAAGAGAAGTTGGGATATTTATTGCTTTCACGTTTTTTATGCCTCGCAACTGCTTCAGACTGAGTACGCTCTGGGCAGCTGTTCCACTCTTTCACTGAGATGAATGGGGGAAAAAAGTTTGCGTTTTCCTCGATTAGCCCTCGCATTGCGTGATACAGAGTTTTGAATTTAATTTTTTGGCCTATGCCTTGAGGCAGAATGGAAAAATTAGGACAAGCTCCCTCCGATGAGCAAGTAATTATTATTATTCCTTCCACATACACTCAGAGAACCTCAGAGCTCCTGTACTAGTTCAGAGAGAAAGGAGAAAAGCACAGTGATAAATGCTGCATAATATGCGAGCAGTCTTTAACTGAAAATAGAGTTTTTTTTTTTTTTTTGAGAAAGATAAAGAATAGGAGAACGCTCTTTTAGAAGGGGTTTGGACAAAGCACCAGGAAGCAAAATGCAGAACCCATCGTGTGCTCTGGTGAAGAAGTCGAGCTGGCCGAGCTCTCCTAGCCCAAAGCTAATTTGGATGCCTGATTTGCATCCGGCAGAGCATCCTTGGTAGTGCTTAGCCATGTACAGCAGACTGGTTCCTATTCATAAGCTGCAAATAGCTAATGCACCCTTGCAAAAATATCCGTGAGAAACTTTCGGAAAACGTTAGCTATTTTCCGAACTGTTGCTTGCATCAGGCATAGTTTGTTGTACCAGGTATTGCATGGGGCAGGTCACTGTACTTGTTAGTGGGGAAAATCTTTTTTTTTAATGCTGGAGAGAGCTCAAATGCACATCTGAGAAGTGGTATAGTATTAGAAGGCTTCTTTACAATCCAACAAATTGCCCTGGGTAATTCTAATCAAGATGTGAAGCTTTCTCTGCTGGCTGCTCTGAATCTGGGTGCAGATGCTCAAAAAAAAACCCCATAATTCTCACAGAAAAACTGGTTGCAGCTTCATGTGCCATAGCCCGGGGCATCGAGCGCGACAGGACCTGCAGGGCAAAGGACACCCACCCGTTTGCCCACGGCGCCTGCAGGCCTGGGCTCTGCTCAGCTGCTCTTTGGAGAGCAGGATCGAATGGAACCTCTTCTCCAAGGCCAATCACAGGTTGCTTCTGCCTAAATTTTCGTGAGCAAGAAGAGTTACAAGTCTACACATGCCTCTCACCTCTGTTTTACTCCGACTCCCAAGTCATTGGTCTCTCCATTCCCATGCAATTCCATATCCATCTCTTTTTGCATGTGTCTTTTGGGGGAGCCTGAGTCTGGTTCTATGTTGTATAGATGGGGAGGCTGGGAGGAAGCCAGTCAGCAGAAACCCAGAGGCTGAAACTAGTCTCCCACTATGGCAGACAACACGAAAGACAGACTTGGTGCACAAAGATCAACCAGTCTGTTTCATGCTAAGATCAACCAGTCTGTTTCATGCTCCATATCCCACGTGCAAATACTTGCTCTGACTGCCTTGGAGCTTTGCGAACTATGGAAACACTCCTTCCTTCAGCTTTCAAAGCAGCAGCTTAGGCAAGAGGCACTTTTTCGGCACCTGTGATCATTACAGCTCTCCAGCAGACCATGACTTTGGCTTGCACAAACCTCCTTCACGTTGCACATTTCAGTCTGTCTTTCCATGACCCGTCAGTGAACCACAAAGAGCAATTTGGGCTTTGCCCCAGCCCTGTAAAGCTCCGGTAAGGAGCTGCCGTGGATTGTGTCCGTATCACAACGCACACATTTTGGCCAAATGAGGGTGCAGAGGGCTGGAAGCAGATGGCACGTGCTGCTCTCAGCAGGCAGCTGCGTGCACTCTCACTTCTGTTAACTAACCTGTTTTGCACCATTTAAGTAACAGCAACGCGTTGCATCGCAAGTGCCGAGAAATAACGCAAGCCCCAGCCCCGTGCCCAGAGCAGCAGCGTCACAACAAGGAGGTTCCACAGGTGCCCTGAAACCTCAGGCCTTGGCGCCCTTCACTTTACATCACTTCTCTAGACGTGCCACGTTGCACTTAAAGCACATTGCAGCTGCTACTATCACAGCTGTGCAGGATGTTAAGTCCACAGGCCGCAGCCCCAACCACCATCTAAACCCTACGATAAGAGATTCAGTAACGAGGGTGACAGTGTGCAGAATTTTGCACAGACACTCCATGCAAGGGACATGGCCAGAGCTAACATGTGCCTGCTTCAGTGATTAGCTAAGCAATGTCTAGCTTTGAAGATGGGGCATCCCTGGAGAACCGCGATGCAGAAGCTGCCCCATCCGAAAAAACGAGAGGGCTTCTGCACCCACGCGGATGCAGGAGCAGAGCAGAAGCAGCTCGCCCTGCACGGTGCCCACGTTCATATTTCTGCTGCATTCACAGAAATGGAGAGTGCACCTTGTAGTGCAGTGGATTTAATGGGCTTCCTTTGGCCTTTGACCGATGCAGCGGACTCCACAGCGCAGCTCTATTAACCGATGCAGCGGACTCCACAGCGCAGCGGACTCCACAGCAACATGCTTTCACGCATCAAAAGAACTCACAAACTCACATCTCTGCCATTCTTTCAAGAAAATTTATTTTACTACAAGAATACTCCAGGACAGAACACCAAAAGGGCAAAATTCTGAATAATTTAGAGATAAGCCTCCAACACCAAGTAATCACTTTGCTGGTAACTGCCTTGCAGCGCACTGCAGACATGCCAATGCAGAAAACCTGCAACTCCCATTCTTTTATTGCCCTCTCCTCGCACTGATGACACAAGCCAATTCACCTCTACGCTGGTATAGAGGAAATCAGCCCAGCCCTCACCCTGCTGCTGTGTTTCCTGATAGATTTTGTTCATTTCAGAATGGAAAAAAAAAATCACAAAGCATCAACGAGGCTATTAGAAAAAAAAGTATTTCCTAGGCAGGAAATAAACTGAGCCCTAAAATTACAAAATATATTAATGATCATTTACTTGTAACACTAATTGCATGATTCACATTCCCCCAAATTGGCGTTTCTCCTTTTTGTTTTAGATTATTAAACACAAGGCTGAGGCCTTGGGGCTTATCGAGCTGTAACGAACCTTCAGAATCCAGCTGGTATCAGCAGAACTGGCCTGCACAGTGAACTAGGGGAATGTGCCTTTTCCGGGAGATGTTTGTGTCTTTTGGCAATAGACATAATCACAGCTTGGCTGCAAACAAACCTTTGGTATTAGACAAACCAAACAGTTATTTATATGGCAAAAGCATTTATACGGCAAAAGCTTTCCAAAATTGCCTTTGAAAGCTCTCCCAACAGGCACTCCCTAAGGTTTTATCATTTCATTAAGAACAAATTTTCTTTTCTTTTTCCTATGCCCTCCCAACGTTGATGCAGAAGACACAATCTGCAAGCTCATCCCCACAGACCTGTTGTTCCAGGCTGTATTAATCACTGCCCCTAAATGCCTCAGCTCAGCATGTTCAGAGTAAGCCTGGAGAAGATCGAATGCCATCAGGACCTGGAAACAAGGAGAAGTTTGGGATGTTCACGTGGGACTACCTGCCAAGATAAAAAAAAAAGACTAACTAAGCACAAATTGCTGCAATTTCTGGGGCACAGGCGCAGCAGAGTGGTTGAGCTGCAAATTCTTCACTAGCATCTGCTGTACAAATGACAGTCCAATTTTACACCGACTCCCTCATAGACTCAAAAGCAAAACTTCAGCGAAGTCTTGCAGATAATGCTTAAAAAAGTGTCTTATCTGAAGCGGCCGTGAATGGGTTGGGGTTTTTGTTTGTTTGTAATTCCATGGCTTAATCAGTACCAGGCTACACTCGTGCTGTGTTTTCAAGCTGCACTTCATGCCACCGCGTGAGCGGCAGCTCCGCTCTCGGGCTGGAGGTTGATCAGGGAGTTGCTCGCTTGGGCCAGCTCGGCGATGGAGACCCGGCCTCTCTGCTTGATGAACCGAGCCACCGCGGCCATCTCCTCCGGGGTGATGTAGATGAACTTCCCTCTGTCATCAATCACACCTACAAGGGGGAAAAGAGAGGGCTCAGCAGTCAGATCTTCCCAAATCCCAACAGGCATCACTCACTTCAGAGCCACTTCTTCTGGAAGGAAGACTTTTAGATGGGTATCCCAATGCACCCACCAGGACACTGCGGTCACGGCTCGCAAACAACCTCCAGGTCTGTAAATACGTTTGCAGTGGCCCCTTCCCCTACTTCATCCTCAGGAAGCAATGACTTCCCAGCAGGGAAACGCACACCTTGTTCAGGCAGGAATGTGCCCACACGCTCCAACCCTGTTTACTTTCCAGCTTTGATTGCACAGGGTCCACGGGCAGAGAGGGCTCAGTTTGGGGCTGCTCTGTGATGTCTGCTTGCCCCACAGCCATGGTACTGGCTTTAGACAAAACATCTTTACAGCAGACTTGGAAACCACCCAAAACAACCATGTGGGTTTTTTCAAGTTAGCAATTTGGGGGACATCATTTGCACCTCATTGCTCAGCAATATCTAAAGAGGACTTAAACTATATGCAGGGCTTAAACTGGTCCCTGCACTGTTATGGACACTTAGCCCAAAACTTTGTCTAATGCATCACAGGGGCAACCACATACATAACAGTGGCATTAAAGAGAAGAGTTTCACACCAGGAAATGAAGCAGGGATAAGTAAAACAACTATTGATCATGTCCTGCTGGGATCCTCTACTTTTTAAAATAGAATTTACACTAAGAATCTCCCCTTAAAACAGTTAAGATGTTTTCTGCACTGCTTATCCACCCATTAAAGTCTCCCAGTTTTGTGTCTGTCACCTGTTAAAGTGCCATCTGCCATCAAGTCCTGGATTCTGTTAATTGCATCCTGTTCAGAAAGGAAAAAAAAAAAAGGAATAACTAACTGATTAAGGATAAAAAAAATTCAAATGTTCAGACACACTAGAGATGGAAGTTCACATTGAATGTGTCAGTAAGAAATATTACAGTGAAGAACTCACATCAGCACCTCCATACAGACGGATGCAGTTAAATCCTTTGTCAGAAAGAGCTTGGGTCCATGAGAACAGAGCAAGTGTCTGCAATTTCCATACCCACAAAAGAGACTTATCTGGAACTTACGGCTATCACAGAACTATTTCCCAGAAGGAAGTTACATGCATCTTTGCAGGAGAAGCCTGTGCTGTGTCAGTGCAACAAGCTAGTGCCATAAAGTCTTCACAGAATCACAGAATGGCAGAATCACTGATGACTTCTCCAAGAACCTGGCTAAACTGAGTATATTCCAAAGCTTTGCTTTTTTTTAAAAAAAGTTATCCCCCTCCCTCCAGTTAAGGTGTCCTCTACCACTCTAAAGAGGAATTTGTGCCTGGGAAACGCTGTGATCACACCAAGCATAGAGTTCCACTGCAGTTTAAGCTAGTATCTAAGCTTAGGTTCTTGCAGTCCTGCCTCTCTCCCTTCTTTCCACTCATATGGCTGCAAAAACAAGCGACAGCTGCAATTGCTACCACATCAACTCCCTGCACTGCCTCACATAAATGAAGTGCTGGTTATAAGGCCCAGGCAGGGGGACACAAGTCTGGATTCACATCAGTGCACACTGCTGTGAAGATGCAACCCAATATCAGATTGGGTACAGAACAGCAAAAATCCACTTACAAAGTATTGCAAATGTGCTCAAATTCAAAACAAACAGAATCCATGGCTACTTCGAACTGCAGAGTCTAAACACAAAACATGGAGCAAACAGAGAAGAGGACAGAGGGGACAAACAGAGCAGAGAGATCACACCACAAGCTCACTTGGAGAGGAGAGGCTCTAAATGCTGCTGAGACGGACAGTATTCTCAAGCAATGCACTAAAAGAAAAATAAATCTTACGCATTCTAATAAGCAGGAAATCAAGAGCAACAAGGAATAGCCAGAGAGGCAGACTTGAGACACAGCACTTCACATCTCACTGCGAACATCAAACCCACTGGCCAGTTACCCAGTCAGCATCTGAGCTGGCTTCTAGCTCCGCTCCCGATTCCAAGCGCCCCGACCTGCCGCTCACCCCCTCGGAGCACCCTTAGCTGCATTAGCCAACAAGCATCTGGGCAAGGGGCAGCCCGGGCACGTTCCACTGCAACAACCTTGTAGGACAGGGATCTCCTGCGGGCTCTGTGCTTCTCTGATGAACGGCTACGTTTTTAGGGCTCATTTTGATAAACTTCACCCAAATCCAAGCATTTGCTGGAGGGATAAGAGACCTGCTTGAAAATTACCCTATCTTCCTGCTTTCTCTCAAAACTAGAAACTTCCAGACTCAGCACTTACACATGCACCCCAAAGCGCCGTGCTTACCTGTGTTCGTAAGCCCAAATGGGAAGCCAAGTCTTCCAGCTGAATTACTTTTGCTTTCTATGGAAACAAGGAAGAGTTAAATGCAGCTGAATTACTGTTTTTTCTGTTTGTTTGGTTGTTTTTTTTCTGTATCACCAAAATAAAGCAAATGCATTCAATTGGAAAAGTAGTGCTTTTCGTTCTATCTTACTGTTCCTAGAAAATGCTTTTTTTTGTGAAAAACAAACAAAAAATCCTAACTTGCATTACTTAAACCATTTTGCTCTGTGTAAAGACTGAATGTGCTGGCCCACGTAAGGGAAGACTGAAATACAGTGGCCAATGTTTCTCCTGAATCACTTCTTACCTTATGAGGACAGTAAGAGCACTGGTGTTTTAAATAGCCATGACACTGCTCTTCCTGGCACTTGAATTTCTCAGTGCTACCTCTGATTTCCATCTATGCTTTAGCAAGGCCCCATTCTATGTGAGAGATGCTGCAAAATACCTTTAAGTGTGCAGACATGATCTTTTCTGCAGCTTTGAGCATTTCCCTCCGTTTTGCTAATGTCATATGTATTAATGCCATAATAATCTTCCCAGGCAAATGAGCATCTTATTAAAAATTGCCAATGCAGGAATTGCACAGGTAGCATGCTTCTGTGTGAGCACTGCAACGATCTCAGAGAACAGCAGCAGAAGTTGGAATTCCAGATGTTCATTTGGTTTTGGAAAGAGCCTCTTACTGCAGCCTTGCTCAGACAGGCACTGCAGCCACTGCTCACATCTGCTTTATGCTTCTCTGGACTCCACTGCACAGAAAACAGCTGGTGCACTGGACTGGAGCTACCTGGTTCCTGTTTTCTGATCTGCAAAAGTTTTAGAAACTCACCCTTTCAGGTGCAGTGAAAAGATGCAATGCTGTTTGCAAGGAATTTTGAAAATACAAAACTGCTGAAATGTATTTAGTTATTTTTCCAGATTATATTCCTAGGAGACGTGTGTTTACAGCTATGTGAGTTACACTTATGGTAATGGATGTAATACTTGCAAGTAATAAACACATTCGTTTCCGACCTTGAGAGCACCCTGGAAAGACACTGAAGAACTAAAGAGACTGAAATAGATGAGTTCTTTTTCATTAATAAAACTAGAAGAGAAAGCAATAAGCCACACACAGACACAGTGGTTGTGAAGTTCGATACAGCCAAGCTAGAGAACTGAATACCATGGACTGAACATACAGAACTGGAACCAGTCCATGGAATTCAGTTCTCAGAGCTGGGAACTGCCAAGACTCGTCACATCTTCTTTCAGAAGGGCAGGGGTGCAGAACCACATTATGCAAGAAAAACAGGATTGAAACCTTGGCTTAAAGTACTCATCCCCAACGACCAAACACACCGGGAGCTCTCTAAGACAGATGCTACTGTGGAAAGGACCCAGAGGACGAGGTGGCACCAGGAGCTGCACTCCACACGTGAGATCTGAAATGCAGCAGCCACACTGTGAGATCCCAAGCCAGCAAAACGCTTCCCTGCTCTCCTCACATCTTCAAGAGAGGCTTAACTTCTGGAGGGCAGTATGTAGGTACCCGTATTTTACTAAATGCATGCAATTTTTTTTTTTTTTTAAGCTGGAAGGGATGAAGTCTCTGGGTTCTTTCCTATTCCCTTTTCACTATATTTTGAAGGTGTTCTCTGTTTTAATTCATCAGCTATTATTCAGAAGTGCTTGGAGATGACAGCACTGTTCGAACCAGGTGAAAACAGGGACCAAGTGCAAGCTCTTATCTCTCTGGGCTAGAAGCAGCACCCCCAGGAAGGGAACCGCTCCGCTGCTCTTCAACCACTGCCCACTCGATTCCTTTCCAAGTGCCGGCAGCACCCGGAGGGCTGGTTTGCAAGGGGAACCCTGTGCAGCTACAGCATTGCTGAAAAATATAAAGGTTGGTTATTCTGCTCCTCTGAGAACAGTGGTCAGGCTGTAACTTTGGGTTATTAAACAGAATGGCTAAATTAAATCTTATTTTTTAAGTAGCAATTGCTCTTTTAACTTGCAAATCTTACAGACAGCTGCTGGCAGCTTAGCACTGCTTTTAGATGTAAGTCAACAACTTCTGTGAATAGGACAGAAGATGAGGGCAATACAGTCTATGTATTAAGAACATTTTTATGATTATTAAAAAAATAACTAATAGAATTTGTAAAAGAAAGCCGTGCCCCAGTTCTGCACCTTATCTCTATGCGGCAAATCAGGTGCTAAAGCGCATTCTGAATTAGCTTCTTCAGCCCATGCTTAACTTCTCTGACGTCAAGTACAAGTGACTAACAGAAAACCGTACATATGTTCAAACACTAAACTGAGACTTTTGTGACTAATCTGTTCCATCCAACAAAACTACCAGAGCAACGTGCAGAACCAGACCCCGCAGCATTATCCTTAAGAAATCATCCTCATTTTAGCAGCAGATGATCAGGGACATGGAAATATTCTGTTGTTCTACCTACTGTTATCTCACAGCAGCTTGTTTAATTTAATTAAAAAAAAAATCAAGACTTTCCTTAGTCTTCGGTGGTATCTTAAAAGCCTTCATGGATCCTATGATGAGGGTCATACGATGCAGACCATCTGCACAGTTAGCAACTGAAATGGAGGAGGTGCTTACCAGGTGCGGCCATTTCCAAATCCCCCTCGCAACCAAATCTCTGGAAAATAAGTCTTTTTCAAAGGGATCTCTTTCAAAGAAATCTCTCTGGCTTCTGTGGAAGACAATACCAAATGGCTCCAAAATTACATCTACCATCTGACGGCTTATCTTCACACAGGGGTTTTATTTCCACCCTGGAGCTCTGAGCGTCACCCATGGCTATTCCAGCTCATTCCCAGCTCTCTGGTCCATGTTTGGTGGCTCCGATCGGAGCTGGCTGCCTCACGTCGGGACCTGGGTTATTGAACTGCTGCTCTTTCCAGTGAGGCTGCAGCAATGAAGAGAAGCACCAGCTCCGCCAACACCTTCCACATGTGCAATAACTGACAGGCTGGTTTCCAATAAAGGTGGAAAAGGATTAGCTGGGACTAAAGGTAGTTAAGTTAGGCTAGGAAAAATGCATTTGAATTTGACACAGCAATAATGGCAGAAGAAACATTTGCTCCTACAGCCCAGAAGTGCAGAGAATTGCAAACACACCACGACTTTTCAATAACCATACAATAGCGTGAAAGAAAGACTAACACATGTTGCTAAAGCCAAATGATTTTTTTCCCCTGTGTAATTACCTCTTCTAAACACTAAGAAAACACTATTAATTGTAAGCAAAAAAGCACGAAAACAAATCATGCAAAAAGCTCGAGCAGTCCTTACAAAGGCAGCCAGCATTTCAGACAGACACAAACACATCCTGCAGAGCAGATCACATACAGGTACAGCAGTTCTCATCTGTGCTGAGCTGAGGCAAAAATTCTGCCTTTTTTTTTTTTTCCTGAATCTAATTCAGTAGCTAACATCCACAAACAAAAAAGCCTGAAGGTCTCCAACCCAGCAACCAACAGCACACATTTCCATTCATAAATTTGATGTGTGATTCACCAGGCGCAGAGTTTAGGTAAAAGGCTACAGTCCTGCCCAGGAATGAAGATACATCTGTAATTAGAAACCATTTTAACGATGATGGACATGTTCACACATGGTTAAGTAACCCACGGAGACTTCACTTCAGGTATCTCTTTTGTTACTTGCTGGTCATTTAAGCAAACTAAAAGCAAGTAAAGATTTCCCTTCTTTCCGTGACTCTGCTCTTTGATAAAGACATTTTACATAATTTAATAAGTAAAGAAGAAGGAGAAAAACACCAGCAGTCGCTTACCTTGACATATTCGAGAAATTCCAATAGAAAGCTTCGAGACTGGGTACAGCAAGGAAAATTATTATTATTTTAAATTACTGAACACTAAACGCATCATCACTTTGCTGAGAATAAAAATTATGAAAAATATGTTTAACTTGCATACAAAACAGCTTGCAATCCTAAATTTACACACATGGGAGATTTTGAACTGGAAAGAACTCTGCATTTAATTTTAATGTGGATTTATGCTGGGCATTTTCTAAGACAGAGCACAGCTCAAGCACCACTTGTATCTTCTGAAAGCAAGTCCTTTAGCAAATACTTATTCTTCACATCATACATAACCTGAAATAACCACATCTGGGTGCCTTTGTGCACCGTGCATTAAGTTACGTGCACCGAGGATGTTTCTGTGCAGAGGCAGAGCACCGAGCAGCTCGGGAGGCAGCTCGTGCAGATGGCCGAGCGCAGCACAGCTGCACAGCACATGTGGAACTCGGGCCACGGTCAAAGCTACGCACCTGAAATGAGGCACTTTCATAAAAGTGGCTCAGCTTTCAAAGGCAGTGCAAACAATGTGCACCGAGGTTAACAGGAGATCGGGTTACTCTGCAGCCCTGGAAAGCAAATCAGCCTTAATTACCTGTTCAATTTTGCATCCAGGCCCTTAACTCGGAGTACCAATTTGAGAACACTAGTCTCAGCAACACATGGCAGAGCAAGGAAGGTAGCAGGATACCAAAACGTTCCGGTACATTATCTGGCACAAAGCAGAAGGGTACCTTGCCATTTTTGCAAGGTTAGTGTCCCAAATTAACTACGTGCCCGTGGCTGTTTTTTGGAGAACACTTTCCAAACATGTGCTATGAAAAAATCTAACCACCCTCCCCAACCCAGAGATCTTCTGATACTGTTGTGAGGGAGGAATGACCTGCTCTGCTCCACATGCAGGAAGATTCATTTCTCTCTGACAGGTAGCTAAAGGAACAGCCAACAGATACATTCTAGCTTTGAAGTGAACTTAAAATGGACCAATTTAATTTTTATCAATAATCTGATCTTCTAGCAGTCTCTATAGAGTTTAATTGGGCACACTTCATTAACGTAAAGGTGGAACAGTATCTTTTCACCATGCTTTCCTCTTTCAAGTCTTTATAGCTAGTGTATTTTGCATAGGAAAGATAGAGGATAAGAGCACATATTGGAAGGGTCTTTCGGTAAGAGCTAGGCATTTAATTGTTCCTTCCTTTTCTGAAAATGTCCCATCTCGTGGTGCTAACCCTGGCACGATGCAGGGAACATTGCAAGGGTTAATGTGTTAATGGCAAAGGGAACATGGTGAGAACCTGTGACTGAGGCCAAGCTGTGTTGACTAATTAGAAGTCTCTGAGTCACACTCAGGACAAACCCATTCAATTCAAGGGTCACAGCAGCAGAGCAGGAAGAGCAATGAATACACACATGCGACCCCCAAAAATAACATACAGAATTTAAGGGAGTTGTGGACAGCTCAAATTTGGCAGCTGCAACCCAAGAGCCACTTCAGTACTAAATTAGCATCTGACAGGTTTCTCTTTGGCACACTGTGAACGGGAACGCTGCCTCCCACAAGAGCTGAACTTGTCCACGTTTGCTGGGCTCTTATGTCCCCTATGCCACCTCGAGCACCACGTCTGCAGGCAGCCGCAGCGCACCAGAGCGTTATGCAGTGCTTAAAATACTATCAACCAGCGCAACCTTTTGCAAACAAAATGTGCAGTTTTCTAACACATAACCCAGAGCACCTAGGTTGAGTCCTGGGATTTCTCTTAAATGAAAACTTTTAAGACGAGCTCTGTTTTAGCTTGATTTTTCATTTGATTTCACAGCTCTGCACATGTCTATTCCTGCAGAAAATGGAACCAAAAATGAGGCCATCCCTCAGACATATATGGGCTCCAAATTATGAATTTGGCCCCGGTTTCATCTGGTATTACCTGACCCACTAGCACATTGCAGAGTGATGGGGCAGAGCTGCCCACAGTCACAAACGCCCAATCCCTAGGATTGATTTTACTCCAATCCACCCATGAAGGGAGGAGAGAGCTCGTTTCCAGCAATAAGCAGTTGCTTTAGCACTTCAAACTAACTCCAGCAGATTCTGGAATGAAAAATTGTAACATTCCCTGGGAAATATTTCGGGTTCAAGTGCCGTGTACACAGTTTAGCCTTTGAAACCAAAAAGCATTGGCTGACTCCCACTTCCAAGCGCCTTTTACAGGATACAGCACAGTAAGGATGATACGAGTAACACAGACGAAGGGGGCTGCTGCAACAGTCTCACATACCTCTTCCTCTGTCATTGACTCTTCAACTCCTTCCTCTTCAACTACGAAACTCTCCTTCAGCTTCAGGTATTCTTCATACTCTCTCTTCTCCTCTTCCTCCTTTGCTTTCCTTTTTTCCTCTTCCTGGACAGAAAAGATGGCAAGTGGTCAGGCAGCACCTCTCCAAGTCATGGTTAGTTGCAGAAGTTGAGTCTCTCTTCTATCTGCAGGCCACTTTTCCATTAGGACAGAGTGCAGATAGAGAACGTTAGAAAACCAAAGTTCTCACCCGGTTGCCTCAGTAATCTCTCAAGCTGCTCTGCCTGAGAAATTCGTTTAAGAGAGTAACCACCCCACATGGTAACACAAGCCTGCACGCAACCCAGTGCCCTAGGCTGGTTCCTAACAGATCTGACAGAGGGGAGAAAAATGCTCTTATATAGTGAAGATCTGTCTTAATTTGCATGAACACGGGTCTTCTGCAGATCACCTGACAGGAAGGCCCTGCCCCCACCCGCTCTTTGATGTGACATCCACGTTTTTAGCAACTCGCCTGCCATGCACTGATGCACATTTGGAGCAAGCACAGGCCATAGGGGAGTTTTACGGGAGTCCATCCACGTGTGGGGAGAAGCTGGCTGGTAACGGAGCTGCAATAAAACCTCTTCCTGACGACATGCAAGCAAAGCACATCATGTTAATGGAAAGGACTGCAATAAAAACGTGGTTTAGTCATATGAGGCAAGGCATGACTGTACTAAGATTAAGAAAAATGAAGTTATTTTGCAGGTTGGACTGCTAACCAAAACCTACAGGCTCTGCTTTTAGTTATCTACAGTTAAAAGAATTTTTATCTATCTACTCTAAAAGAACTTTTGGAAGTCCTCAAAAAGCCCTTGCAAAAAAAAAACAACTGCAGACCCAGAAAACTCCAAACCAGACACATTAATATGAGTGAAATGGTAATGCAGAACAGCCATGCATGTTCACACAGCAAAACTGTAATTATAAAGTGATCTCTATCACACACAATATCTTAAAGAATTTCAAAAAAAAAAAAGTTTTCTAGTTGGATTTTATCAGTTTGCAGCTTTCCTCCCCGCCCTTTGCTAATCTTGAAACACTTTATATACAAATTTAAACAGAATAAAAACGGTTCTTATACAACAATTCCTTACCCAAGAGAAAGGCATGTTTGCACACCACATGGTACCATTAGAGCCTGTTTTGATTTTGCAGTGGCTTGATTAACGCTTGGGAAGAGCTCTCCACGTTTCAGTGACAGTCTGCGCTGTGCAGGAATTGATCTCTTAAATAACAACTCTATTGATTTCTAAAAGCTGACTGCTCTGATTTTATTTCCCACTAATACAGTAACTGCTTTCTTAAATGGCTGGAAAACAAGCACTTGTTCCGTTAAAACTTTAAGACATAGAGGTAAGTTATACATCAAACATCCTGAAAAATGGCCATGTTAGAAAAGACACTACATAAGGCCAAAAACAGTCAGATAAACCATTAGATTGTGCCCACAGGGCATAGGAGTGATGCCCTCTGATTAAAAATGTATTCCATTCAATTAAGAAAATTTATTTTCTTAATTGTATTTCATAAAACTCCTGGGAAGTCACAAGAAAAAATGCTATCAACGTGCAAGCGCAGGAAAAACTAAACTGAAAGGATCCTACTGAACATGCAAAGTCAAAACCATTTTTAACGTCAGCCTCATGAAAACCTACAGATCTGAGGAAGCTCTTGAAAAGAAGGAAAAAAAAAACGAAAAGAAAACATTTTCTGGGTCATTCATCACCATAACGATTATCAGCAAAAGTCCAGCTGCAGGTTTTTATTTTCCTGCAAGTATGGCAGGAGCCAGGAACAACACAACCATATTTCATTTGGAAGTGACAGCAACTCTTCTTTGCTAACAATCACATCAAAATTAATCTTGCTCCTGAAAATAAAAGAATAAGGTTCTTTTTCTTATCTATTACAACGGTTGTAAGTTGACATAACTTGAAAGGAGAAAAATTACAAAAATTGAAAACTGCTTTGGCAAATAAATTCAAATGATTCTACAAAAATATCCAAAGACACTGCCCCATTTGCAAGTGGGAGTAATAAAAACTGAGCAATATTTTCCTTTATTTTCGGAAGGTCCAGCAAGTGAACAAGCCTCGTTGCTGTCTTTCTTATCTACCCAAAGAGCAGTAACTTCAATTTTATTCAAGTTTGTCAGCATGTTAACATCATTATTTCCATTTCCAGCTCAGCAGAGACACACACTTCTCTGCAAGTGAGAAAGGTGGAGTGCAGAGCTCTTGGACAGCAGCCCCTCTTTGGCCATCTCCTTACAACCCAATCCATTTTCCACATCCTAAACTCTCACGCTGTGGTTGGTGGAACCTTTCTAGGTGGTCTGAGACACTGTTTTGGCAGCTAAGGCACCCCAGCCCTCAAAGCCTCATGTTTCCTATTGGCTGCTGCCTCCTCCACAAGGCTAAATAATTCCAGAATCTTTTCAACCAACAGCCCCCAAATCCCAGCCATTCCCCTGCAGAGGCCTCACATGCTTTCAACCTAAATTCCACTGCAATTCAGCCTAGGGAAAAAAAGGAAATATCCAAACATTAAATGGGTTCAAAGCAAGGAGAGAGATGACTTTGCACAAGTGCAACTGGCCAAAGCAGCAGAAGCTGGACAGGTGGAACCCTAGTGAAGCTGGGCTGGTTGTTAACACAGTTATCTTCAGTTTTTTAATTATTATTTACTTTTTCCACAGTCACTCTAACCTTCTTTCATATTCCCAAGTCCTACAGAAATTGCATGAAAGATACATGGTCATCTCTAGCCAGGATTCCTTCCCACAAACAAACCCCACCTGCCTGCAAGCACAACCTACACATGGAAACACTGAGCTCCAGCTCAGGACTTCAGGGTCCGCTAATTAAACAGGGTGCAGCACTTACTTTGCATGTCCCATAGAGGCTGCACTCATCTTAAAAATGCATTTAAACAACAAAATTCAAATTCACTGATGGGGTTTCTTTAGCCCTCCCTGTTCTATCTGCTGTTAACGGTGGTGGAGCTCAGTGGCAAAGCCGGGGTGCCTGGAGGAGAGAGAAGAGCTGGGCCACCTCCCCGGCCCTAGGGCAGGGAAATCCCAGCACGCTGCAGAGCTGGTGGCTGCTGCTGCTGCTCACCTTCGAAAAGAACAAGAAATGCAAAGCAGCTGAAGCAGGTTGGCTTTTCTCCTCACCCACCTAAATGGTACCCAAACTGGGGGCTGGTTATAGAGTGAGGACTCCTTTTTGATCATTTGCCTGTGTTTCACGTGAAGGACAGAAACTCCCCACTCTGATCTAGTCACTGAAAAAGATGATAAGCTCAAGCTTCCTCAAAAAGACGCTTTTTTTTGTGTTCTCTCCAGCCAAATGCCCACGTTATCGCCCGGATCCCCTCGCATCTACCTGCGTGCTGTAAATCTTGCGTGGTGTTTTGGCAGGCAGAGCCCCGGGAGCTTGCCGAGCTCCAACGCTGGGGGAGACGCTTTTCAGCACGTTCTCCCCTCCTGGAACTGCTCAGCTCTGCTTCCCAGGCCTTCCCGCTGCTCTCCAGGCTCCCTCCATCCCTGTTGCCCACCGAGAGCCTGGATTTGCCGTCAGGCTCCTTTCAGATCATTACTTTCTGTTCGCCTTTGATCTTGATCACAAAGATTATTTCCATGGCATCAGAAACACTAATTGTGCCAACTGCGCAAAAGCCTGATCTCATATCAGCTTAAATCCAGGGTGACTTTAAAATTCTTTTGGATTCATAGCTGGAAGCAGACCCTGAGTTTTGCCATCTTCTCTTGGGACCAAAGAGCCCTCTGGAGTCTCAGGATGCTGCATAAATAACTGCAATTTTCTGGCTGGTTGTAACATTACAGCTTCTACAGGTTTGGCATACAGCAAAGGGCAAGGGGACACTGCCCAGCAGGGAAATATCGAGCCCTGCTTTGAGCTTTCGCTGCGATAACCCATTTAAGGTGGTGCAGAGACGGGGAGATACTGGCCCATGTGATAAGCAGCTTGCCCAAGAGCTTTGCCTAAGCAGCTTTTGCTGAGAATGGAAACTGCTAGTTGTGAGCTGGGCCATCTCTCCTCCAAATCAGATAAAGGACCAACTTGCTGACAAACAAATCATTCATAGGCAGCTTATTCCACCACTCAGTGGAAGAGATCTCATTGCCAGGGAGGATCGTAGAGCAAGCGCTGGGCTCTGTCTGCTGCTGGTTGTTCCTGCTTGTGGCTCCGAATCCTTTCTTTGCCGAATGAGGAAAAAAACTTTGGGCTCCTCTGGCAAATGCTTTGAGGTTCACAGGCTGGAGACATCCTTTCTCCACCCCATGTAACATCCAGTTTTCGGTCTGATAGTGCAGCTCCTGAAGAGAGTGCAAGCCTTGAATACAAGTGAACAATCTGGCATAGAGCACACTGAGTTCTAGGTTTTTCTCATTGCCCAGAGAGAGAAAGGAAAACACCTTTAGAAAGGCAAAATAAAAAAGGAGCATTTCCTACCAGTCCTCAATCCCTGGAGAGTGTGCAGAATGAGTTTTCTGCAAGCTCAAGCAATCTGTGATTCCTCAGAAGAAATTATATTTTAGAAAAGTGTACATGCTTGAAAACGGATGCTGAAAACCTGTAGCAAATCTCACCAGCCTCCAAAGTGCACAAGGATGCATGAATAGCTGACATAAATGCAAGGCCAGTTACTGAAAGGGTCTGCTGAGAAGCAAACACTTCAGTGTGTGCCCAGCGCTACACAATGTAACCCACCAGTCAACACTGTTAAAGTGGGTGCCTGTTCTTACACGATTACACAACAAACCAAAGAGATGAAATTTAAGGGTTAAAAGCGCTATGTTTGGGGTTACTAGCAGATTACCCACTTGTAGAGCTCTGAAGCAAACTATTTTTTATTTGGGTGCTTCAAAAACAAAGCCACAAGACTAAATTTAGTATCCTGAGTTTGGAAACTTTGGGTAAAGCTGTGCTTGAGGAAACAACAAAAAAGACCCCACCAGATTTTTATTTTTAAATATAGCGGCAAACAAATGCCCATTTCCACTCCTGCACCAGCCTCCTTTTACTTCCTACCAG